AACTTGATTGTGCGCTGTCCCTTTATGAGCGCGAATTGTATCAAACAGAAGTTTCAATTACATTGCGAGTAGTAATAATTTCTTCTGTGTATTTTGTGTGTATGTGTATTGCAACACACACATCAGACATTTTTGTCAATTCAAGTTGATGTACATCTTGTGTAGGTAATTTAAAATGCTAGTTCTCTCTTACTATACAAATATGGTCAAACAAACATCTAATATTTGGCACTTTAGAGAACCTGTCAATTTTTTCTTTTTTAAGTGCTAACTGAAGAAATTTAAAATAATGTTGCCGTAAAAAATTCAAATTAATTCTCTGTCAAGTAATCATAAACTTTGTGATGAGTAAACCATAAACTGTTAATGCAACTAGAAAAAAAAAATCAATAAATATTAATCATTGAAGAAGTGTTAATTGTAGATTTGGTTATCATAATTTATCGAGATTCCAAACAAAAAGAGCGATATGTCACGTCAACTTTGATATCTTATTGTGTGCTACTCTCAACTAGGTTAGATTATAGATTATTTCTGAGCGATGTTTGTACGTCATCTAGGTCGAGCGCATGCATATATTATCCACTTCATATTGACATATGAGATAACAATGTTGCCAGGTCTTATTTAAGTTTGTCGGGAAGAACAATTTTTTTTCTATCCCTACGTAATAGTCACGTTGCTGGTGTGTCATATGTACGTATATTATATTTATAGGCACGTGTAATACGCACGTGTAATGTGCACATATACATATATCGTTTAGCGCTTATTTCTGATCTTGTTTGTTTCTTTTTTTTTTTGTGTGTGCGTCAAATGATACAGACGGGAGAGAAAGCTTCACACTTTGAAACCAGACACTGGTCCGAAGCTCAAGAAACACAATAGTCGCGTCAGGTTCACTTATAACGCGAGTTATTATTACCACAAACTAACGCGCAACAATAGTGAGTTACACGCTCAAGTGTAATCATTATCGATAATATCTTTACGCAAAAAAATTATTATCATAAAGCGAAGTTTTATGCAAAGTGTTGTGTCTGAGTTTTAACACGTCGCCGTTTTGAAAAAAAACATTTAATGGATATTTAAATTGAAATATATGTAATTACATGTATACATATATGGAAATGTAACGTTTATATTGCATTGATGTGTGTAAAGTAATGTAAATCTTATTATCATTCGCGATTGTTCCAATTAGATCTCGTGATCTGCATGTAGTAAGAACGTCAAATGAAAAAATTGCAAAATTTACTTTTCTTATGTTGTATGTGTGTGTGTGTGTGCCACCAGAAGTTTTATTTTGTTTAAGTTTTTCTAAAGAGATTACATATGACTCACAACATCACATAGGAAAATGGTAATTAAATCGAAAGGAAAAAAAAACTCAACGATAAAGTTGTTTACGTCTCAAGAGCTGATTTTTTCTTCGTCACTCTTGAAAAACAAAAGTAAAACTGAGCGAGACAGGAGTTGGGTAACACCTGACGAAAGGTGAACTCAAACGAAACGCGCTGAAAGGAGACGAGAAAATAGCCGATCTCGGGAAGTGCTTGTATGGAGCAGTGTTCGAAACCTCGCAGAAACACGCCGATAGAAATGCGTTTTTCTTTGTCGGATCTCGATGCGCGTCTTCTCAGATAAGCGCAAATTACAAAAATGCACGACAGTACCTCGCGCGTTTGGCCGCGTTCTCGATTTTAAACCGTCCCGCCGCGTTATCGTTATCGCTCTCAATTTGGAACGCCACGGCTGCTTCTTCCCTCTTCGCGCGCGAAAATGCTGTCTCTCCTTTCCCTCCTCATACTCTCTTTCTTTTTTCTTACGCGATGCGAGAGGAGCGAGCGCCAAACAGCGCCAGGTATCGATCGGCAGCAGCTTCTTTCAACTTCCGGTTGTCACAACGATGTGCCGTCGGTCGGTAGCGGGAGAGGAATGACAAGGAAGAAAAACGCGAAGGAAAAAGGACGGGAGATTGGAACGGGAGTTGAAGGGCTAAGAGGAGCGTAAATGCGGATAGGCAAGAAGAAAAGAAACGATCGGCGGCGACTCGAACGAGCAAGCACATTTTGCCAAACTCCATCCTCTCTCCCGTCTTCACCGCTACCGCATCTTCCAACTTTTCACGTCCATTCCGACCCTCTTTTAACACTCGCGGCGACCATGTCACTACCATCTTGAGAGATAGTGTGAATATTGCGCACATATGTAATATATAAATACATATATACTATATATCATATACATACTATATATACCATATATCTACGTCATTATATAGCGAGACAAAAAAAGTTTTGGAATTTATGTTCGATTAGAACTTTCTCGACGTGAAAACTTTCATTCGCCTCTGTCGCGCGTTTGTGCACATAATTTTTCGTTTTATTCATTGCTTTGCAACTCCAAAATTTATTGACATCTTGAAGAAACGGCGCACGTCGGATTAAAGTGTTGAAATTACTAACAAGTGTTGTTAAATCTATATAGCTAAAACTATTCTGCTCTACATAAATCATATAACAGATACATTTCAAGTTTGAATTGCAATGCGATCGCAAAACACTTTTGCGAGTGCATTGTAACGTTTTGTTTTTTTTTTGTTTCGGTTTATAAATCCAAAAAATATATAATTCGCGTAGAGAAGAACAACGCCGTTTGGTTTGCCGATTTTGTTTTCTTCGGTTTTTATCCTTGGTGTTCAAATGACACGTGACATTCTTTGATTTCTCGTCTGACACGTTTCACTTTTCACTTTCTCTTTGTTCTATTCTCCCTCTCGCTGACCGATAATCAGCCTTGTCTTTTACGTAACGATGAGCGAGTAAAACAATCATTAATCTGGCTCTTTCTCGCGTTTGTTCCTATCGTTCGTTTCGCGATCGCGTAGAGGAACGTTGATTATCGGAAAAAAACATACGGTAAAAACGTAGTCGAGCTTCATGCGGAGCTCATATCTCTTGCCGCGGTTAACTGAAAAGTTCAACGTCGAACGGAAAAAACCTGTTGTTTCAACAGTCCTCTTTGGAATCTTTTATATACCATATATATATATCGTTCGGATATCGGTTCAATCGATTGTAATAGTAATTTCTGCGCTGCTAAACGCCGCGTAACGCGCGCGCGCGCGCGCACGCACACACACACGCGCCACAGAAAACGCGCATGCGAGCGATGCAACAATCATTCCGTCTCGATAGAAATGTTTCTATTAATTTTAATTTGCAAACGCGAAATCCGTGCGCTGCTGTGCTATGCGCGCTATCGTTACATTGGAATTCTTCGAAAGAGGCCCGCTCGACGTTGCGAGAAAATATTTAATTCGTTTTGCGCGCACAATGGGATTGCGGAACGGCAACGTATACAAACGATATCGAATTCCAACGCGCTCGGTGTTCGGCTCCGAGGAAGATCTATTTTTACACGCTAGGCGAGCGAAAACCGCGTTTACCTCTCTTTCTCTCTCTCTTTCTGTTTCTTTCGCGTGTTCCCAGCCGTCCTCTTTTCTCGTTCGACGTTATAGTAACACCATCGAGAAGATGCATCGCGATCAGCGCTCGTTTTTTAGAAATATCTTAGACTCGATAACGGAAAACCTTGTTACACTCTCAACGTTCGACCGTATATCTAGTCTCCCATCTCTCCGCCTCCGCGACTCAGCGTGTCACCCGGGGGGGGCTAACGACAATTCCCGTATTCTTCGCCCGTTCGACAATACGTACTTCGCGCTTATTCAAGCTTTTCTGATCGATTTTCGCCGGAATCGCACAAAAGCCGTCGCTACGTAAATTCTTCGTCGATCAGCGAACTGTGCGCGGTGAGTTTCTTCGATAAGTTTGATTTTTTTTGTGCATCTTTTCCAGCGATTGTACAGCGTACGGAATTAATTAAGCGCACGAGCTTCGAAGGATATGCAAAGTCATTCATTTTGTAAGAAGTCTCTCTGTAGACGTTTATTATGTAAATAAAGTATTTGCGTCTTTTTTGTTAGCACGTGCATATGTAAGGGAAATTGTGTAAATTGTTAGATTGTCTATTGGTTCTAGTCGTCTTGCACTATTTCTCTCGATCTTTGCATTTATGTGAAAGGCTTTACACGCGCATTCCACGGTATCTTATCTCTAACATATATTTAATCGACATTGATGATGAAATCATACACACACGTTCGAGATACGACATAATATATTTATACGCAAGTAGCGCAGATAACAAAGAATAAAAAGAATCGTTTTCACGATTTTCTGTAGTCGTGAGACGTATTTACAGAAGATTACGTCGATTGTGTCTATCACGACCGGATGATGTCGATCGACTAGTTCTCACCTCTCGAAGCGCGGTGCGGCGCGACGCCCGAAGGCGCGCTCGAGCTAAACGGCGCTCAACTTTTAAATTATTACTGAGTTTTACCGAGGAGTTTTATTGCGCCAATAATAAAAGCAGGCAATATCGCGGGTCCGTTCGCGTCGGTCTGTTCGCCACCTCCTCCACGATCACCCACGCTTTCCAACGTGTATGTGAGACGGTTTGTTATAACTGCGAAATATGGTCGTTACTTATACTGCGGACTTCACCGTGTCGCCCGCACATCGATCGACGACTTTAATGCTCGGTGCTTTAATACGTACGAGAGGACACGATGCAATACGGGATTTTGTTGCATCTCGCGATCTTGTATGGTAAAAGGCCGTTAACGTTTCCATCCTTCGCGTTCCTCTCTTTCTTCCTCTCTCCTCTTTCATCGTTATGTTATTTTTACACCGTGTAATATCGTCGTGAATAGGCTTTATGGGTCATTTTATGCGGAAAAGAAGAAAAATGAAGGAACACTATGATGCCTCGGAAAGAGCGATTCTTATCGTTCTCGCCGGTTCATAGGTGGCAATGACTTGTTTTATAGCGAAAGCTGTTGGGATGGTGGCTGCAGCGATTGACGCACAAGAAGAGAAAATGTATATATATTTTTTTTTTCTATTAAGACTTGTGATTTACGTGTTATTACAATAAATAATGGAATGTCGCAACAAAAATATTAATCTTTATAATTGTTTAATCACACGATGGTGCAATATAATCTTTGTCACAGTTGTTGATAAAATTCTTTAATTTTTACAGTTGTGAAAACAAAACAAACTAATGATAAAATATTATAATTGCGAGACACGATTTCGCAACGACACTATGTACTACAGTGGCAGTATTGTAATATAATAAATATATAACTCTGTATTTTTCTAACACACTCGATTAATATAAAAAAAAATTAGTACGGCTAACTAGTTGCCTTGATAAGTATAAAAACGAACAAAAAGAATAGAAACATGCAAAATATTAGTACAAGTATCACTTTACATATTTTCATACATCCATCTGAAACATAAAAAAAACAACTTATTAGAAACAAATCAATTGTTTAAGTGCGCAATACAAGTAATCTTATAACAAGATAATTTTACATGCTTGCTACAAATAGTTTACTTAAAAGTAATACAGATCTTTATAACAAAAATAATAAATACGCCTAAAAGTTCATCTCTGTTACTCTTTTACAAATTAAAAAATAAATTTAAAAAAAAGATATCAACAGTGCTTCTCTTTTAATTGTTATAATAACTTTATTTACCGTTGAAACGATTTGCTGATACTTACCTGCGACGTTATTCTCCCTACTTGCAATTATAGTATTAGGAGGGATTGTAGTCTCGAATTGGTTTTGTGGATTTTGTGGATTTAGCGGATATATCGGGTAAGGCGTTGTTGTTGGGATATTCGAATAAAAAGTATTCGGCACATATAAATATGGCGCTGTGGGTGGCGAAACGCCATCAGGCATAGATGTGGATCCTTGGTTGTGGAATATCGTTGTTTGATTAGGCGGAGATACATTTAAGTTGTTTCTCATTGGAATCTGTCCCGTCACCTCTGCGTACGAAGGTGGCGCTGCATTGTTTATTGTATAAACGTCCGATTTATGCTGCATAGCTTCACGTTTAACATGCAACAGTTGCTTCTGAAAATGTGAAAGAATGAAGCGTGCTGTTAATTTACACAGAAGAGAATTTTAAAATTTACGATTGATGTGATCGTTAAAATTAAATATAACGTGAAAAATTTTAGTAAAGATATATATCAGATACATATCGTTAAAAAACAACACATGGAGATATCAATGTAGTCACGATAAAAAGAATACTTAAAATATTTTACGCGATAACATATTTAAATGCAAGATAATTTTGAAGAAAAATAATAAAATAATTCGCGCGCGTATGTGTGTGTGTTACATTCGTTCGAAAGTCCAGTTGAATTTTCTAGAATCGTTATCAAAATTATCTTTAATCTTGTTGTCTTTAATGTTTTTTAATATAGTAAAAACACACCTTTTGTAATGAAATATAAAAATACTTTGCATGAAAGACATCCTTAGTATTACGCAGAGATATATTAGAAATCTGACAGATAAATGTAATTTATCAATTTTATATGTAATAATCACAGAACAAAATGAATATTTATCTTACCTGATATATGTATATTGTCAATTGTGACGATGATATGACAAATATTTTATACGCAGTTAGATATATAATCTCTGTGCGTTACCTAAAATTCAAATTAAAATTTCATTGACAAAGATTTCACACTTTTACGTAAAATTTCACAATGTCGTTCAAACTCTCATAAATATATAATATATAATATATAATATATTAGTAATATTAATTTCAACGTTGTTTATTGATATCGCATTATTAAATCTATAAAGATCATTTAACTGTCATTGGTCATTTAACTGTTATTATAGTCATTAATTTCGAAGTTTAATACGTGCGTTAATACAATACTATAGTATCGAGTTTTCCCAATTGTTTACAGTTTATTTTAAAAAATTTGCGACATACCGCAATACTTACGTATGTTCCGATATATTCTGATTACACTTTTGTCATTAGTTAAATATTCATAAACGTCTGATAACTAAGTACGATCACATTTTACTCTATTAATTATTATTACACTTTACTTGTATTGAAAAAAATCATATAAAAAGATACATACACTTCTTTTATTTGTTTGTGATGCTATTAAGTGTCCGTGTCCCTGAGTTTCACTGTCAAACACTGGTGTCAACCTGTTGCCATTAAAATATGAGGCTACACTAACAGTTACGAGAATGCTTATCTATCACCAGCTTATTATCACTCCCCACTTCTGAAAAAGGAAGCGCTAATGCGGGAAGTTCAAATAAATTGATAAAATCACGTTAAAAGATACGCACGCGTCTTTTCGAAATTGTACCTTGCGATATTGATCCGTAATACATGGCGTAACATTTTGCGTAACAGTGTTACACTGACACGTTAATAATTCGTATTACATAAGCACACGTGTGTCGCGCGCTCGTACTTTATTGAGTGTCGACTTTTGGCTTTTTTTTTCTTTAAAACGTCCGTGGCGCGCCATAAAATACGTAATACGCGATGAGAGAAAGCGATGTTTATGGATTATTCCGAGCCGAACGGGTTCCAGCGATTCTCATTCGGCGTGGAAATAACACACGCGCATACTTGGGTGCCAAAAAGTTGAAACGTATGCGAGACACACGTGACGCAAGATGGTCGGGAAGACAAGAGTCGGCGCGGCAGAGGGATGGGCAGATCACGAAAGGGGAAAAATAGGTCGGCGCCAGGATTTAATCAATGATTTCGGCGCCAAGCGGACGTGTGTGTCTGTAAAAAAAAAACAAAAAAAAAAAACAAAAATAAAAAAATGCAGCGCGAGCTATTTGTGTAACGACAGAAATTCGAATTGCCATTCGCTTCGACGGTAGTGCGCCTTTTTTTATCTATCGCAACCTCTGTTTTTTCTTCCACTCTCTGTTTCTTGCCGATGCACGCGATGCACACGTCGCTACATCTCGTCTCGCGCGTCCATCGTCGTCGTTCCGTCCGTACGCACGTCTGGTGTTTTATCGTGTGTGTTTCCACACTGTTTTTTTCGCGCTTTTTGTCTCCTTCTTTCGAAATGACGTCGTTGTGGCGCCACGCCGCTCCGAGAGTCACCCTGGCGCCAAATGTGACACTTGTCGTTCACTCGTCAACGCTCGAAACGCGACGGAAAAAAGTTGCGTACGTGACGTCGCGTGTCATCGACTAAATCAAACTTCCACTTACTCCGGCGAATGTTGTTACGAGCAAAGCCGTACGTATGCGCGCGTATTTCTTGTAATTAAAGAATCGGCGCAACATTAGAAATTGCATTTTTTCGAGAGATACTTCTGTTTTGTTTAACTAGTAAAGTAGACAAAATATGTGATAGGATGCGCTCGCTTTGTCTTCATTGCTTTTCAAATGTAAAACATACTGACGCTCACAAAGCATGTGAACGCTCAAAACAAACGCATCTTTAGAAATGTGCGGACGATATGAAAGACGTTGATATAAAATTAAAATATTAAATAATAAGAAAAAAAAACATTAAGTATACATCATCTTCATTCGTATAATAATAAAGAATTACAAGTGAACATCTTTCATAGTATGCATGCGTGTCAGTTACGTGTCAATAAATCAACACAAGTGTATATTTTCAGAATATAATTATCAGCGTTAGTGGAATGGTACGTTATATTAGTGTCCAGACACAACAATAGCATAAACTTAAAAAATTATTTGCTTATTCATATAATTCAATGTGAAAAAAAAAGATCGAATTACTTATTCATGAATCTGACGTCAACATATGATCTGTGAAACAAAACAAAGACAGAAAAATTGATATTATACTTAGATGTGCACGTGTACTGCTCGGACTAACAGAATATGTTAATTTTTTATTTGCTGAACAGTGCGTCACAACGTATAAAACTGAATAACTTATATTTGGTAAACCGCAAGTACAGTTGCGGTGCATCAATAACTTCTGAAAGAGAAGTGAACTTGTTTTCTTCTTTTCTGCGTGTAAAATGAATATCTCGGAATAAATATTAGTACGTTAAACAATACGCTTGTCGAAGATCACGTTCGCAATTAGATTTTTTTTTTAATTGCGAGAGTAATTATCGGATATATTTGTTCTGTCTATATGTGTATTATATATTTACGTGTCTTGTGAGTTCTACATATTCTTCTTTTTAAAAAAGGGAGTAGTCACAAAATAAAAAAAAGAAAAGTGTGATTCATTTTTAAACAAATTTATAGAGAAATCGCGAAGTCGGAATTGAGTCATGTTTGATTAAAAACTTGAAGTGTGGGTTTGGTCAGACAGTATTAATAACGTTTTTGTTTGAAAAGTGTCATAATGTTCGTTTCTTTCGAGTCTATCGTAAATACTGTTTTTTCATAACAACGTAAATAATTATCATATTAGTTTTTGTACATACATGTTGTCATCGTGCGTTAGTCAGCGCGAAATGACAAAACACGCATTTTGCGCGCGATTTACGTGATACGGAAAACGTCACATGTAGCTCCTGGAACGCGGGTAATATACGATCTTAAAACGTCAGAGGTCGCGCTTCCGCGGGACTTGGGCGTCTAGCGTGTGGTGCCGGAAAATGTACTCAGACAGGCTGTCGAACGGTAAGGCACTGAATTCACGCCACATAATTTCCGGCTGTGAAGGTGGTTTCTGTCAGCTAGAAAGCAAAATGGCAATGTGACATCCGCGGCAATTCGCTACAGCTGTATCGTCGCACGTATGTACAGCATGTAAAGTCAATGAGGAAGAATATATAAAGTCGATAGAAGACAGCTAGTTTTTGTTCAAGTCTGATGAAGCACTGCACCGTAGCAAACCTAAATTTTAAGATGATGATTAGTTTCAAGTAGAAGTTGTAAAACTTAACAAGAAAGCTAAAAATGCGCGAGTTCAAGGATACCGTAAGATGCAGTCTCAATTATATCGATGTAAATACAAGAAATTGTACGCAGTTTCTATTTTAAAGTGAATACAATATTCAACGAAGAGAGAGAGAGAGAGAGAGAGAGAGAGAGAGAGCAAAAAAAAGGGAGCGGTAATTGCGGATTTTTTTCTCTTCGCGTCTATAACTCACAAATGTTTATTTACTGGTAACAAAAGGATGATCGCCAAGGTTATAGCCAAGATGTTTTTCCAAGAACATTTTATACAAGACGTGTAAAATCGCATTTTATTTTTGTACATGTCAACCACATTTGTTTCAATAAATTTGTTTAAATATATTTCTCTCGACATTGTTCTTAAGCAGTGATATCACGTTCTGGAGAATATCGCGGTCGTTTATTTAGCTCATGCGAGTAGTTGGAAGAGAGGAAGAGAGAGAGAGAGAGAGAGAGAGAGAGAGAGAGAAATCGTTGAATCTTAAAATATACAAATTTCCATAATTTATTCTCTAAAATACATGCAAGTCAATGCATTTGCAAACGTGCAAATTCTAATTCTTTCGCATTTACCTCACGCTTGTGTTTGCGCGCGCAAAGCTGTCAAGTTAACGATTTCTATTTGCCACTGCGTGCATGGTCCGCTGATCCGTAAAAAGAAACTCAAATACCATTAAAACTAGCATTGAAAATGCATAGAATAAACAGAAATGAAAATGCAGCTGACTCGTTCGGTCGCACGGATTTGTCTTTTGCATAGTGTTTTATAATTTAACCACATGCTTTTTGAATTTAGTGATTTGTGTATATAGATATATATTTCAGTATTCATAATATTAATAAAATATTAAATAGAATACAATAAAATTCTTTTGAGTAAAAAGTTTCTTTAAATTAAATAAAACATTAATATTATACTTTGGGAGATCGACATTTCATAATTTTTGCAAGTCGTATATATTATGCAAATCAGTACGCATGTTATTTAAAACCGGTGAATTTTGACCTTTAAACTTTTATAAAACACTCACAATTCCTTACAGAATTACGTATGATTGTATAGACGCTTACGTAATAAAACACATACGTAACACATAAGTAAATAAAACTAAACAATTTTTCTTTCAAAAGAAATTTATTTACTGCATCGCAACCTAGAAGAGCTGTTCACACAGTTTGATGTTATCACGATGCTAAATGGTCGAAAGAGCAGAGGTCGAAATTCGAGTTTTTTCGGGATAGATTTTTACTGGAGATCAGTTTGTGGAATTGCAAAACTCCGCGTACACAAATGTGCGTTTAATTTCATATCAACTATTTTTGACATTTTCCGTTGAAAAAATAAACACGTACGAATGATGAATCTATTTGCGCGTATCGAGATACACGCGTGTGTGACTACACGTGTGCTATTTTATATTTACCGATATAAACATCGATATAAAAGATATAATTATATATATGTATGTATTAAATAGAAAGATAAAAATTGAAAATATAATGTGTAACAAAAATGAATAGAATTTTAGAGCAGACTGCAAATCAAGCGTTCGTTTTTGAAGGCTTTTTCAAAAAAAAGTTCGTTTATTTATTCTCGTCTTACTTTCTCTTTCTTTCTTGTCTTCTTTTTTCGAGTTCTTCGTGTGCGTTTTGCGCTCGAGACATGTTTCTTGCTACGTGTTCGAGCTCGTATACAATTTTCAGCTCCAATATTTTTCGGATAAAATACGCATGCCGGTGGCGTCGGCATTTCCTGACGTTATCCAGGAACAAATGGACTTTTAAATTACAGCCGCGGGCCCCACCTGTAGTCGGCCGTTGCAATGGTCGCCGATAACGGATGCAGCGGCGCGCTCGTGCCGGCCCGCGACAAATTCGTGCCATTATATCTTCGTGTTTACTTCGACGCGCACGCCCGCGCGTGCCTCACGCTTTGTTCTCGCTGTAATTACGCCGCCACCGCGCTTAATTCACGTCGGAAAGCTATAGCGGCACATCCCCTTCGGACACGTTTTACGAAGTATTACCACAAAACAATCGATATCTGTTTGAGTTTTTCGGAGCTCGGTTCTCTTTGACACGCGACTGTGTCTCATTTAAATTTTATTAATTATCACAAATTCACGTTCGCGCGCTTCTCGTTCAAGAAAGACGCTCTCTCGCCAATTATAAAACTCTCTCCGCGGGGACCGGGGAAACAACGAGGGCGACTACACTTTGGAGTTTCCGAAGAAGTTTCGTCGCTTCGAAAGAGCTCTGCGACAAATTCCCGTCCCGCGGCCGCGTTTTCGTATTTACTTCGCGCACCGCTTTGTCCCCGCGTAATTACGTTCCGCGGCAGCTTAACGCCCGACAATTACTCGACAGTCGTCGTTAATTTCCCTCGAAATAAAAGACGACGACCACTGTGTGGCAATGACGCCGCCGCGCCGTGAAGCGCAATGCCGGGTGGCAGCCGAGCGACGATACCAATCTTACGATTTCCGCCGAGCACAAAGACGATCCCTTCTCGCTGCGCTGGTTCTTTGGAGCGAAAAAGGGTGGTTTTGTCTCTGTGTCGTGGCCTGGTTGACACGACCAACCAGCTCCACGACTCTCCTATCCCCGTGGCACAGCTGATTATTTTCCGAGCGCCCGAGTCGCGCTTGAAGTTAGCGAGCGTCGTTGGAATTACCTGCTTTTATCGCGGGACAGTTCATCCGCTCTTAAGCCAAATCTAATCTATCCTGTGCAGCACGGAACGTCGAACTTGTGTATCTGGATTGCAACTTGGCAAAATTGCTACAGAGTGACACCGCAAGCGCTTCCGTTCCCCGTTCTTTGTGGCGAAACAGTCGTTCGTTCATTCGTTTTGCGACAGTCGTTAGCGCTCGTTTGCCGCGTACGCCGCAAAAGTTGTTAGCCGAAGAATGGAAATCGATGATGAGGAATTTCGCTACAAGACCGAACGAAGAAAGGCAACTCTGAAGTTGGAATGTTTCATTAAATTAGGATGCTTTTAAACGGCGATGTGTTCTTCGGTCGCGCGAGCGAAATCTATTCTCTTATTTACTTTCAAATGACCGAGGTCATTTATTTTTAAGTGGCTTGCTTAAAATCTCATTTGACTCTGCGGAATTCAAAATAACTTTGACTCGCTGAAAAAACATTGTACGCTCTGCCTCTGAATATCCTTCGTGTAACATTTGTACATAAGCTCTCCCAAAATTTAAAGACCACCTGCGATGACTTATTTAATTATGCAGCACTCGGGTGAAGACTAATTGGTTAATTTACAGAGCGTACGGCTCCTTCCTTTCCTGACCTTATTGTTCTCCGTTTCCGGTGGCGAGTCCCATCCCTCGCTCTCTCCGAATATGGCCGGACGACCCATCGCGTATGCGAGCGTCGGAGACGACGACGTCAAATTTTAACAGGCACGTTTTGCACGCCGGCAGCTCGTAGGACGCGCGGCGTATATGCGCGCCATGAACGGTTATACATATGGTGTGTCGGGGAAAGAAGGAGGCACGAACGTGCTATGAGAGCAGTTTCACGTAGACGAAGAGCAGTCATAGCGAGCGTCCCCGGTAGTAACCCACCTTTATGACCGACGTTCACGGAAAGTGCGTTTCCCTTTTCCGCCACGTGCACTGTTCACGCACTCGCAGTAAAAACGAGGAGATTGCCTCGAAGCCCCGCAGATTAAGGGCTGTCATCTTTATCATCGTAATCTTAACGACATACTCACGTGATGAACAGCCGACGATACGCACGCTGACGATACGTATGCTTATTAATAATCAGCTAGATTGTTCAATAGTGATTTTGACAAAGTTACATTGAAATTCTCCTGAATAAATATAAAAAAATATGATATAAAGTTTTTAATTCTTAAATTACTTTTCGCACAATTGTAAAGTAAAAAATTTAACTTTTTTATCGATCAAGAACGGCTACTTCTCGCACAATGGAAACCGACGACGACTGAACTCACATCATTTCGACTGTGCTAGTTTTCGATAACAATAATTAATTTGATTCCGTTACGATGCTGTAAAATACTTTTGTGTCTGATTTTTATCTTTTTCACAAAACTTTTCCGCTAACCGCGAAATTGCTACTTATTGGCACTAATGAACTGAAACTCGTGTTTGTGTTCGAGTAAATAATTTAATGCGACACGAGAATTACCCGTGAAACATCGGGCTCGGGATAGAAACTGTAGCAGACCGCGCGAAAGTGTGACGTCTCATTCCGCAGTCGGTTTACGACGCGGCTGTCTCCGGAAATAAAACGTACGAGAATGGCACCTGGTTTTCGAGAAATCGCCGCCGTCGTCTTCTCTCGCCGGAGTCTTTCCTCCGAATCCGCGGGAAATCACGACGGGGTTATTCCGACGACCGTAAAACGACCGGCCAGGGAGAACGAGCGTCGCGCGAATTCCGGAGGAATCGTCTTGCAGACTGCGCGAAAGACATGCGAAACACGTAATCGTGAATATATATATGTGTATATGTATATCTATATATATATACACATATACACTGCGACAGTACCATGCGAATCGCATGCAAGACACGACTCACGAAATAAGTTTCTATGAATAGCGTGTACTGGCATGTTGTGAGATCAAGTTGTCTGTTTTTGCTTTGCAAGCTGAAAATTAAAATCAAGTCTCGTTTTCCGTCAACTAAATAGCCGATTAGATATTCAAGATATGTACATACATTTGTGCACGCTGTAAAAACGTAATTGACCACGCAGGATGTAGAATTCGATATGTAAAATATATGTATGCAATTTAAATTAATTCTGCCACGAAAGGTTCTACAAACAGTCTTAAGAACGCAAATAATCAGTAATAGAAGATTGCTGACGTAGCAGATACTAACACACGCAGTGTGTAAAAAGTTCATCTTAATGGCTTATATAATACTTATGATAATTATCGAATTATTATTTATTCATTATAATAATAACGTAATTGGAACTGACTTCAATATGATTAGTTTATCACAGCTTAGCAATTTTCGACGAATAAACGTTGACGTTATGTGATGTGTCATTATGAGCTTATTACTTACGTTATTCTTTATACTAGTGAGTAAAAAGCAAGGAATAGTAATGAGAGTACACACAGCGTAAGGCACCAATAAGAATCACAAATTGTCAAGATAAAATTTCTTCAATTCATGAAGAGTTTAGGCTCTTAAGTTTCAAACTGACAACGCGAAATTTAAACGGTCATGAAAGCCTTTACGCTGAATGTTTGTTGCGAAATAAATAAATAAATATATTTATATATATGTTTCTTTTTGTGTAATTTTTACACGTGAGTTTGAATTAAAATTTCAATTCCTAAATTCATATAGAATGCTATTTTGCATCACGTATATGAGAAATCTCCGTTTATCCCCTATCTAATTTAATATTTTTAAATAAAATTTTCGATCGAGACAATTTTGAAAGACATTGATCATCAGCGTCTCGATCGAATGTACGTTCTTTGCCGTACAAAGGGCAAGTTGTAAAAGATTTGCAATGTTCGCCACTATACTCGCCCGGAGCTATACGCGCGCAATGCTATGTAAATAATTGGAGCTCTCTCTCTCGTCTCCATCGAGGTCGCCCGCTAAACCGGACGTCGACCTTAACACAGTTTTATACGTCATTATGCTAATTAAGCAATAACATTTATCGTTGTTTACAAGACAGCAATTGCCTCACGTGACCTAATGTTTGTGCCACAATGTAATTGTTTAATACACATATATTTATTGGTCAAATAAAAATTATATATAAAATTTTGCTTAATTGAGCACATAACAAATAAAATAAATTTAACTAAACATGTAAATAATAAATATATTACACGAAAATATCCAATATATGAGATATGCTAAGATTACATTGTTTATTATTACCGCGCGCAATAATCGATTACATAACACATGTTTGTTTAAAAGTTGACTTTAAACTGCAGTGCTGATTATTTTGTTTGCAATGTGTCTAAAATGAATTCCATACCACATGTAAAGCGGTCATCACGTCAACGAACTTTGTCGAAATCTCTTCTATGTATATAATGACGACCGGTTCGTAGAGAATTTATGTGAATATATATATCTTTGTTAAAAATCTATGTAAAAATATGTCGAAGAATTTTTACGTGTGAATTCAGTTTTATATTTTTAGTTACAAAATATACCTTATATTTTGTTAACTTTTGATAACATACGATGGCTCTCTTTGAGCTATCTGGTCCTTTTCGTTATCGGAATTAATTTGCACCTGCAACTTTGGACTACGGTCATCAGGAGTCTTTTAATTATCTTGCGGAATCGGTCACGTGTCCACCCCCTTGTCGTCGTGTTTGCATTGCTCGCCGATTGGCTCGCTGTTAGCGATCGCAGTTTTGCCGCGTTCAGTGCGCGCCGCTCGTTCAGTTGTGTTGTCGAACGTCATCGTGTTTTGCCGCGCATCATTTTTTATTACCGGTTCCCCATCGGCGTGCGAAACGCGCGATACGTGCGTACACACGTTCACCAGGCGCATCGCGTCCGTGATTGCCGTCGTCAGTCAGATCACGGACGCACACGAAAGCACTCGCGACGTTCCCAGTCGCTCTCTCGCAGTCGTCGCACACTGTAGCATGAGGAAATGTCGAGGAACGCTGGAAAAGGTAGATTTGTCGCGCGATTTTGCGGCGGACTAGATTGCAACGCGTGCTCGAATATTTAACGTCACTCCGCACGCTCCAAATTGCAGAGGAAACCGGTTCGCCATGTTCTCACTTTGTATTTCCATCTTTGTTACAAATGTCTGCGCTCTCCGATCGCGGAACAACCAGGATAATCTACGACTTTGTGTGTATGTGTGTGTGTGTGTGTGTGTAATATATTGTGGAACAAGTTTCTTATGTTATAAAATTGACAGACAGTTGGTACACTTTTTCTATTTTGTGCGGTTTTGCGGAGTTCGTTATTTAAGTACCTGTAAGAAACGTTAAGTAATATGTGAAATAACGAGAAAGTTGTTATGCACTCGGAAAGTTTTCATCTTCCTGGCCATTTCTGCTGCCATTTTCTTTTGTTGATTGTAAACCACAAACATCTTTTGATATTGAAAGAATAATCTTTTTTTGGTTTAGATAAGATAGTGTTTTTATTTATTAGGCGTTCTGAGAAAGTTTGCTCAAGCGCAACGTAAACGCAAAACATACAAATCAAAATAAAAACTGACAGATATAATAGAAAAAAAACAGAAAAGTGAGTATAAATGAAAAATACAAATTAAAAAAAAAGTACAAGAAAAAAATAAATAAAAATGTAAACATAAGATAAAAAATAGTGACAAAAAACTAAGAAAACATAATAATATAATTAAACATTAGTCTCCAAAAAATTCAAACAATCTTTTTCGAAAAATATAATAAAGCTTTTAAAGAGAAAGAAAAAGAGAGATGTTAGAATTATAACTTTGTTAAGCAAACTGATGAAAAATAGATTGCGCGCGTATGTCAAGACGATTCTTATATAAACTGCACACACGCGAAAGTACTTGCATATTTTCCTCTTACGATAGCTATTAATTATTTAACAGCTAATAGATTGCATTACGGAATGGAAAGCGGCCGGTGCCTTTGGGTGAAACGCTCCTTTAAAGTGGACGCATGCGCTTGACGCAACGTGAGACGCGGGAATTCGGCTCACGTTGCCATTTACGAGTAACTACGGTAATAGAAAGTGTTTCTTCAGCGCGACTGCGCTTTATGAATAGCGTGAAGGCTCTAATACATCGGCTCTCAAGGACTTAACGATGAAATATATGAATAATAGATAGTTAGATATAATTGTTATTATCTCGAAATATCAGAAGATTACGTCTCGCAATACTAATTTGCATATCTATCAGTCGCGTTCGTTCTTGTGAAAACCGTCTTGTGAAAAATCTTATATACTCAAAAGGTCACTAAACACGTACGCATAGTACGTCATTAAAAGAGCTACGAAAAAAGGATAGTTGTTAAAGCAATTGTTTTCACTCAAACCGAGCGAATGATAACAGTAAAAATATAGTTCGCAGTTCAACATGGTGATACTGTGAACTAGTTCCAACGACAAATTATAACGCTTTTATCACAGCATAGTAAATTATCATACAAAAACTTGTTATCAGGTTTTTACAAATTCTCTCTCGTAAGAGAATTTCTTTAGAACGTCTTATTTTTTTAGAAAAAGATGTTTAAAAAATACATTTTTTTAACGACAAGAACATATTTTTTTCAATATACATTTAGAACTTATTAGCATGAATAAACGTTAAAAATTTAATTTATTTTTATTTATTTATTTTTTGTTTTGGTTTTCTCTCTCTTTCTTATAGTAGTTAAAATTTACTTCACAGGTAGATTTTGATCGAGAGTGGCTGGATGTTATATAAATAAGCGATACGTAAACATATTTTTTTTTTTTTTGAATACTTCTCTGCAACGTATTCATAAATTAAACGAGTTAAAAAAGCTCGGTGATGAAGTCTCTGACTATACGTGTTCTCGATTAAATCTAACAAATTGTCCTTCGTGGATGTCTCAAGGCGTTTGAGTCACGTTACGTATTATTACTTCTTTGCCCATGCAAACATGTAGTTACATCGGTGCGATATCAAATGCCGCGCGTTCACGTAATAAACCTGTGAGCTAAGTGTGCGTCTGGTTCTGAAACAAGGAAGTCGCGCATTGACTGAAAGCAGAACCGGAAGGGTATAAAACCGGATTGTAACTGTCGAAGCAATGTAGTTTGCATCAGATTTCGTGGGAAACGCGACTCGCAAAATATACGCGTTGGTTCCTTCCAAAAAAAAAAAAACAAAAACAAAAAAAAAATATTGAAGTCAACGGTAACTATATAATATCCGACGGTGCATGTCGTAAAGTTGAAGCTAATCTTGGAATTTACGTACGTATCTATAGCGTGCACGTGGTTATCTTTTGGGAGCGGTCCGTATACTTTATTCTTTGTCGCGTGAGATTCATAATGGATTAGCATTAAAAATATGTAAATAATATTTTTAAATGAGATCCTTTGACGGCCTCAGAAAATGCATGATCAGATAAATGTTTATTCGCGACGTCGTTCACGTAAGTTTATTAGCATGAATCAACGTTCAAAATCCATTTTATAAGTTTTTGTTTGAACGATTAGATGTTATATAAATGCACAATACACTCAGCATATCTTAATTGCTGATCTTTAAAAACTTTTATTATATTTATATATGTTTGTTGTTGCATATAAATATATATGCGCAAATAACGTAGATGTATGTATAAATGATACTGAATAATAGAATAAATACGAGATATTCAAAACATCTTATTTTTGCAATTATTTACGTACACTTTGTTACAATATTTATTACAATATTTCAAATTTTTATTGATAGTAAAAATGAATGTTGCGTAGAATTGTTTATTAATAGTCTGACTTTAATGGCAACGATAAATTATTTATAATATTTAACAAAACCCAGATGTGTTGCACAAATATATTATTTATAAAAACTACAAAAAACCAGATTAGAAATTATTTAATAACATAACTGAATGTAAAAACAGAATTTACTAATGTATTAAACTATGATTTATTATTATTCAATTTCAAAACATTATTTTGTGCAACTTGTGTGATAGAGAAATCACACTAATGTCGTTTAATTACATTAAATTACATTTTTAATTTTATTAACTATTACTTTCGCAAAGTTTGTATGTAAATTAATGGAGGACGTAAGAACACAGGATTATTTTTACTGAAAAATATTCAATAAACGAACGCTTGAATTTTAATTGCAGATTTTCCGGTAAGTCCGGAGACTGAGCAGCTGTTAAGTGGTCACGTGTGCGGCGAGTCGTCAAACACGCACGCAGGACTTCTGTCCGAAATCTCGGGGATTTCGACGTTACAGAACAGGTTCGGCGGATTGAGTCGCAATGCGCAGTCCGGGGAAATCGGCGGCAATCAAGTCGCGGTATTTCCAGTCACTGTAAACAACAACGAAAGCAACGACGATCCGCCACCTTACTCCGCGATCCCGCCGCCCTACAGCGCGATTGCGCCACCTGATTACATCAGCTGTCAGCCCTATGGACTTTTTTCATTCGGAAACCGGTATTCCGCGGAGTCGCCGTCCTACAGAGTGGAAATACCACTGACTTCGTTTCAAACTTCTCTAACTGCGGGTTTCCATCCCGAAGTGACTGACGGCCAGCAACACACATCATATCCATCCACAACTTTAACGCCTTATCGTTTCTTCAAATTCAACGGAAATTCTTCAGTGTCGAGAGAAATATCGTTTACAGATAACGGAATAGTCGAGAAAGTCGACGACAAAAAAACACGAAGTAAGTATCGCGTGTAAAAATTTTGCACATTTTTTCTTTTCGTCATGCATTTTTCAAAGCACAAAATCTGCCATTAAACGGAGAGATTTATTTGCCAATTCCAATGTCATTGCTTCGCACGCATGCGTGAATAGCAAACACGGTATTGTTAGTATCTGTTAGTCTTATTGCATTTAAAGATCAGTTACATTGCATTTGAATGTCAATGTAGAATTATAAATCTCACACGTCAAAGTTGTATAAAACGTAGAATGCTCGGATAAATAAGATTTTTTTAATTTAAAAAAAGCCTATCAGCAAGTTTCTGAAAAATAACAGAAAGAATAGTTTAAATATTGTGTTATTTTGTCTACGGAATTATAACTAACAATAAGATTATAAGTCAATCATCGTTCGAGTTTTATCTCTTGACCTTCACTCGATCGTAACACTCATATATAGTAATAACATCGTTACCCCCGCCTCCCCGTAAAGCAAGGTCGAGTTCAAAACTGCTTGGCAGATAATCATTCACTAAACGGAGGTGTGATAATGGATGACGCAAAAGATTTTTAAAATAAATATATCTTGACAGGATATGGCACTATTCTTGTGGCAGCGGCGGTCATTATCTTCCTCATGCTCTTATCTTTGATGGTTCGTTTTATTATGGAAAAAAGCTGGTGGCGAAGATAGCTCGTCGACGGAAATCACTTTGAGAAGAGTGTTGATCGATAAATTAGTAATTTATAAAGGATCGTTAAGTATATATGTATACATGTAATGAATCTGCGATTATTAGTATTGAGCGCGGGATGATTTTTATTTTGAGATCTAATTAAATTAATTTTTAAAGTAGATACTTATTGAAAAAAAATCTCGAGCAAAGTAAATACTTATTAAAAAAAAAAAAAAAAAAAAACAATCTTTGAAACAAACATGACAGTGATGAACGATGTAGTATTTTATGTTTTAATATTTATATGTGAAAATCATAATTATTGATCTTTCTAGATAAATTTCATCTATTATTGTCGAGTGTATGTATAGCTCGCGTAAAAGATGCCATTAATGTATTTAGTACTATTTTTGTGTATCGAAAAGTCATCTAAATGTCAAGGTTTTATAAACAAACAACGCACGACTTCTACGTATAATGCGTGATTTAATATCAAAGACGGCATGTAGCAAAGGTTATCACGTTTGATTCAGCATTACGCAAAATATAAAGAGATAACTTTTTGGTTTTTCTTAACATAACAAAACTGCTTTGTTAAAACAGAGAAAATATGTAAAATAATTGAATAATTAAAAATTGTATATAATAATTAAACCATAGAAAGACGTTTTTCCAGACATGTATTCTTACTTAAACATTGTGATTGTCATGCTTATTGTCAAACAATTAAAATTGCATTTTTTTAAATAAAGTATTTTCCACAACAAAATATATAAAACTAATAATGAATATATATATATATATATATATATATATATATAAAATAAATAAATATATATGTATATACATACATAAAGAGAGAAAGAAGAAAATCTTAAAATTCGACGAATTTTAAGACGAATAAATTTTGAGAATGTAAGCATGTGAGTGTGTTTGTGTGTGAGTACAAAATATAATATATGCACATGTAATCCTAAGCTAATATCAAATATTTTTTTATGTTATTTTGTATATAATGATTTTATTAAATATCACAAATTGTCCATGATTTTTAACTAATTTCCAATGTTAATTATGTTTTAATGGACACCATGTTGTATTTTATTATCAGAGAATACGCGTTAATTAAAGTAATACGGTCTTCCATTGGCGTTAGCCAGCGAACACTATTATAATTCTAATTATGCTTAACAGTTTTGTCAAATCGTTGTTATTTTGATAACATCAGTTTCAACCTGACATTCGAAATGGCTCTCTCGTATCCCTCAGACCAATTTTCAAGCAATGCGCCACGAGGGAAATTAAGTGACAAAATAATTCACTAATGAAACACTCGATGTTTTTGTATTTATAGAGAAAATTACTTATGTTTGTATCTGTAAATTATTTAAATTATTTATACTTAGAAAATAAAAGAAAATATAATGTGTACATAAATTAAAAGAAAAAAGTACTTTTACAAAATAAGAAAAAGTTGATATTTGCAAAGCTTCTTGCAAAATTTTGTTGTAATGATATTATAAATTGGATGTTATTGTAACATTTTTTTTACACATAACATGGTACTAAAAATAAAGAAATATTTAATGCAAAAAACCTTGACGCACGACTAAACTTAGAATTTAGAAATCTCCCTAACTGATTGAAAATGATACCGGCAACGTTGTGCAAAGTTCATAATTATTTGCCAAGTCTATTATCCATTTAACGTAGAAACTTTGACGCTTATTGGCCCGATGGGACACCGATGACGATGCAACAGAAGGAGTAGACAACGTCGCGGTCGCGAGAGAAGAAGAGGTGTATGTACATAAGTAAGCGATAAAAAAAGAAAGAGTAAGGTAAATAGAGGCGCTCATCGTGTACTGATTAAAAATACAGACTTGTTTCTCTTGAGAGTATGTGATCAGAAAAGTCTGGGATGTCCTGGGAGAACGTAAAAGTTCGCAGTCGAAGGGTAAATTCTCCGAGGACGAGGGTGGGTAAAGCTGCTAAAGCCACAAGTAGACTCCGTGCGCACAGTAGGTGTTTCAGCGTAACTAGTAAGTACTGGGCGAATTTTTAACATGCTTGACTTGTAAAACGGCAAGGGGTGCAGCCATGTTTACGTGAAATTGTGGGACGTACGTTTTGCCAAAACCTTCATTAATTTGAACATTTGCAATGCAAATCGAGGTTCTTCTTCTGGCCAGCACTTAAATATGCAAACTACCCACCTTGCACGCAGCCTCGCGCACATCAAGACGAAAAATTGCACGCGCATACGCGATTTTTGCAGGCGCTTTGAAGTGCGGGTTTTCTGTTGAAAATATACATGGCAATAAAAAATAAAAAAATAAAAAAAATGGATCTTATAAAACAAAAAAGACCAGGTCGATTTTCCTCGGCCAGTGGTTCGCGTAAGAACCGAGGAGGATCAAAGATGATAGAAGCTTAATGCAGGAGGAAAAGCCTCGAGGACGAAAAGGAACACAGGCTATAAAGCCAGACAAGTTAGCAAGAGCAGAGCGCGGTGAGAGTGAAGGGCCCGGGGAGGGTTGATAAAAAATACAAAAATTCTCTCTCTTGAAAGGGTTGAAGGGGATGGGCGGGCGGGTTCGTGCTAGGAAAACGACGCCAGAACACTCGAGACTTGGGGAGGCCCGCGAACGAGGGTAAGGTGTTTGTCAACGGTTGCCGGTAGTTAATTACTTTACATGAAAGGAACTTCCAGCCGTTTCGCCACTCGAGGTAGCTTCGGTGCCCGCGTGCCATCAAACCTCTCTCCCTGTTCCTCCGTCTCTCTTCGTCATTATACTCCTTCGTGGACTGAGTGTCACCTTCTGCATCTCTCCTTCCTCCTCCGTGTCTTCTTATCACCTGTAAGAGTTTACGAGTATCTAATCCCGCAGACTCGGGGCAGACTCTCGTACTTATTCTGCAAACGAGATCTCTCTCGCGGCGACCTCGATAAAAGAAGGTGAGAAACGCACACGAAAATCTCGGGAAAAGTAGCGCGTTTGATGTGAATTGGTATCGGAACAATCAAAGTATCGCTGAGCTTCAACGCGCGTTTGGAACTTGTTTTAATTTGATAGCTTTGAGAATTCGTCACGAGAATATTATGCGCGAGCTCTTGTTGAGGAGAGTTGTTTTAATTAATATCTCTCTCGAGACGATTTTTCAAATAAATACATTTTTCTAAGATATGCGTGTTTGAAAGGTGTGTTGTAAAAAATATTTAAAGAAATAGAAAACAAACACGTGTAGAAAGAAATACGCTTTATGTTTTCTCTTTTTCTTCAATAAAATACAACGAAATATATACAGTTTGGACTCTTAAGTCGACAACCTTTGACAAAAAAAAAACAAAAAAGAAAACAAAAAGACAAAACACAAGATAAAAGGATGAAAACCCGGAAGATCCTCGTCTAAGCACCGCTGTGATTGCACGCGCGCGCAGCACAGCTCACCTCATAAACTATTACTTGTATTTCCTCCGGCAACCATTCGCCGCGCGTCGTCTTCAAGGTTTCACCTTTTCGGATTTATACGTGCGCTGGCTGCGGCACAAGCGCACACATGTACGACGCGCCATGTATACTTTCGTTCATCTACCAATGAGCGCGTCTTCAAAATTATATACTTCCCAGAATGTCTTCCCATTGTTCCCATTGCGCGCGGATTAAATTGAATCGCGCATGTGAAACGTTCTCACGTTATGTATATTTTATATATACGCGACAATTGAGCGCGCGCGCGATTCCGTTTTACAAAGTTTACAAAGGGGATTTTTCATACGGTGGCGAATATAACCGGCGCGCATATCGCCGAGAATATCGATACACAACACGCGCATACATTTCGAGCGAGGCGTTTTCGCGGTTTCTTGCTCGCAACAAACGCAAGAGAAAATAGTGGAAAACGCGGTATGGGTGGGCGCGATACATCATTCATATACAGCCGAATCTCATATCGCTTTCTGATCCTCCGGCTATGATGGCTTTTGAAGGGCCACTTCCCATCCCTCCAAGCCCGGGCCCCGGTTCTGTTTATTGTTACGTCGCATTTATGCATGAACCCTCCGCGATTCTATTGTCACGAACACATGACGAGGCTACGCGCGCCGGGCCGGGTAGGGTTGCGCGCTTTCGTACTTTCCGCCTAGCGGAAGTCGACGGCGCCCGTGAAACAGGAGGATGGGATGAGAGCAGGAGGTGGGGATTATTGGGCCAAAGCGGAAATCGATGGCACGGCTGCTCTGTCTTGCCGGGAGCGCGCGCGCGGTTCCCGAAAGCCAGAGATCGCCGTTTTTCTCGTGTTTTTAATTACACGCTCGTTGCCCGAACGTTTCGCCGGAGTGTTTAATCCGCTCGCTTGGACTCGTTTTCGCTCTTTTAGTAGTACAACACTCGCTCCTTGTAATAAGTCCTTGAAAAAAAAATGACATCGAAACCGAATAAAAAATTGAACAATGTGTACACGATACATCTGTAGTTAGTTTTATTTCTTATAGACGGAGGGATTTTTATTAAAGAAAGCAGGCAATAAAATGGTAACAAAAAAATATTCATCCCATCAAAGACGTCATGATTGATCGATTGTGGATGAGCGAGAAAGTAACACTGACTCAATAGTCTTGTGGCGCATCTCAAGAGCGCGATCTCCCGTGGAGAGAAGTGCAAGGTCGGAAACGCGCCACTTAGACCACAGCGAGGGATGGGGGGAGCGGGATGAGAAGGTCAAACGGGAGAGGAAGCTCTTCGACGAGGTCGTTTCCGGCCGAGTCTGATGCGTCTTGACTCGAATCCCGACGTTATCGCGACAATTGAATGGCTCGGGCCCTCCTTGCTTTGGCGTTTCTCGCTGCGCGGCTACGATAAGCCTCAGAAACAGCCCTTAATGGTTTCCCCTCGCGATTGCCGGTATCCATATCCCCCGATTCACACAAGCCTGTCGTTCTTGCCGCGCCTCTTCCCGTTTTACTGTCGATGTGCTGCCGCTTCTGCGGAAACACGTATCCACCTTGGCGATGTACCGTTCACGATACATTCCGCGACGCGCAATTTTAGCCCAATGTTATTTCCAGATTACAAGTGGCAATCAGATGTGTCTTACGGTTTTGAAATTTATGCGATTTGTAAGATATTGTAGCACTTTTTGTTTTTTATCCTGTCAGGGAAATCTTTTGTGCCTGTTGTAACAAAATATTCGTAAGAGAGGAAACAATAATCAATTATTATTTTTTAAATTCAAGAGAGAGAGAAAGAAAGAGAGAAAAGGAAAGCCGTAAATTATTTTTTTCATATACGATAGAAAAATGTTTCTTCAGAGATTGACGTTTAATTAAAACAGACTTACAAAATTTAGTTCCCCGAATAAAGCATTTGTCTTTCTTCTAGCGTTTGGTGTGTTGCGCTTTCATTAAAGAGTCACTTTTATCGGATAGAACTTTGCTCGAACGCGCGTTCTAGCGGCGCTTATATCGCCGCCCCATATTGCACGTGATCTGCACAATCGGATTAGAATTCGGTGCAGGAGACCGCGATCGGCAAACTAAACTGAGTTAAGCTCAGTATTAGAAGCCAAGCCTCGTTTATTAATTCAAACCGAAGTTAACCGCCTGTGTTTCTCCTCGCGAACTCGAGGAAAACCGCTGGTGTGCGACGTTACAC